GTTATGACAGCCTCATAGAAGTTATTGTCCGCAGGCCACCTCATCATCACCCTCCTACCAATTAATGGATCATGTGTACTTTCAGTGAGGTCATTGGCAGAAGGTGCACCAGAAGACCCAAGGTTATTAATATGATATTGCGTGGGCTTTGCAGGGGTCACAACTTGCTGGCCCTATGAAAAAAATGGAAAATAATATAAAGTTGAAACGAAAAGTTAGTTTATAGCATCACAAATATCATTCATATTTTTATAATTCAAACGTACGGAATTAGGCCTTCTGCCACCCATTACTAAAGAAGGTCCCCATTTCCCAGCTGAAGACAATGGATGTGTGGTAGCAGGCTGAGGGTGTAATGACTGAGATGGAATCCCGAATGTATTTCCTGATTGGGATGTCTTCGGCTTCTTGCGAGATGCAGAAACTGTGGGACTGGGTAGTTGATCGTTAACATGCTGAGGGACATTGAAAGCTACATTGCGATTTCCACCAGCTTCTCGCCACTCCCTGATTCTACGAATGAGATCATCTGCATTGACCTTGGTAAGTAGATCTCTGTGCTCATCATCTGACACCCTCAGCTCCTTCCTTAGTTCTGTTATTAGACCTTCCTTCTCCTGAGGACCACAACATGTTATGAAGCATCAAAATCAAAGCAACAGCTTTCAAACGTCCAGGAAAAGTTAAGGACAGCAGCATTACGTACCCATGTAAGGGCATCAGACTGTGCTTTAAAAGCTCGTAGGACTGCAGCATATGCTATTTGCTCTATGTTATGGATTTCAGATTCCATATCACTCTGCATTCTTTGATATGGAGCTGAGCCAACAAAAGATCGCCCATTACCTGCTACACGACCTCCCACTGGAACCCTATTATATTGTGGCTGTGGATGATCATCATCAGTGCCTGCACTTATTTAAATGGAAAGGGTATATATCCAGGGGCATAACAAATCCTCAAGAAAGGAAAAATAATTACATTTTCTTGCCCAAAATATAACTAAGTATTTGCAATAGATGATAGAAGGAAATATTGTTCATCATTGTTCCTCCATCACTTGCCAGAAAATGACATAGCCTATACCTAGTCAGCCTACCATTGAAATCAAATTTTATGAAACTGATAGTGAATTGTGAAATTGATTGATGAGAACAAACCTTTCAGTTCATGTCTTAATGGTT